CGCGATTCGCCTATACCCTCCTCGGCCGCCCGCCGTGAAAACTCTGCTCGAAAGAGTCAAGATGCGATGCGCGCTTGTCGAAAAAATACCCTCCCGCAACTGTGGGAATTGCTGTTTCGTCCTGGTAGCGGCGCATCGCGGGCTTACAGCGTAATCGCCATCATGACTACTGTCTGCTGAGCACGACGCGGCCCGCCTAAGCCCCGGCCGCCCTCACGCAACGACACCCCGTCCCTCACCACACTGCCCACAGCCACTCGCAGACGGCAGTTGGCCGTCAGCCGACTCTGATCTCATTTCCCTTGCTGCGCAGGGTGAGCCCTCTTGGCCGCCTCGGTGCTCTTCATCATGGTGTCATCTGTCCAAGTTCCGGCGCCCTCTGGCGTCCGCGAGTCATCTCACCGCTCCCTGCCCGCACCACCCTTCCCTGTCTATTTTGGCTTTTCGACTACCGTTCCTGTACTTCCGTGTCCGCTCTCGTTATTATCGTGGGCAGTTACTTCGTGCAAGGTACCAGGCGGCCGCCGCTCCGTCTGGCTGGACTCTTTTGCCTGCCCATCGAGAGGCAAACACCGCAGCCACAGCCTGCCGTCCTGTGCCACCCTCGAGATCCGACCGTCTCTTTTACCGAGGGTCTGGAAACTCTCCAGACTTTCCCCGCCGATCATTGGTCACTTTTCGCAAATCCTTATCATGCTTGCTTGTTGCCGCTTGTTATTCTTCCGCCGAGCATCATCGGACGGTTTGTCTCAAGTCTCGCATGATGCCCGTAGTAGGAAAAGTAGGACGCTGCGAAATCTTCATCTCCACCCCAATTACAATCTGCACGCCGTAATAGAGCCTTGCTATGGCGGTTTGTGCGCCCTGCCCGTGCCGTGCAACGCGTACTGCGGCTACTAAGACATCCATCCCCAAGCCAAACTCTCCAGATCGCGTTACACCAAATCAACGCGCCGTCTGTCGGAAATGGCAACGCGTCATTCTTCTTGTTGACAAGCTAGGTCAACTCGCCGACGCGTAAACGCTGCTCGCGCTGCATCTGGATCGGCCGTGGCTGTTGATCCTCTCTATCATGGCGCGTACTGTGGCTCGCGTTACTCGGGGCCAGGGACTGCATACTAAACCGAATGTAATGCTCCACTTATTGTATTCGGATGCTTCCGACCTGTCTACCCTGAGACGAGGGCTTCCAGTTGACCGGAACCCGCTACAGACGCTGATGCAAGAGGATCAAACAGACAGCATCAGAAACACGTTGAAGCCCAATCTCTGGGGCGCATAACAGAAATGGCCCCAATTCACGTCGACTAATCGTGTCTGTCAAAAAGGTGAGGCTGTAGCGGTGAAAGACCCACTCTCCGCATCCGCGCATGGACCATCATCACTAGAACCTCGCCGTCATAGTTATTCCTGTCGTAGGGAATGTCCACGATCGTTGACATCTTGGCACCATGCACCGAGTTTTGATCTGAAACAATGAGTCACTCGTCTTCTTTCTCCGCACCCGGCTTTGGCGTGGGGCCTGCATATCACCAAAAGCTTAGAGTACCGGCCGATGACGGCAAGGTCGTGGAAGACGGTGGAACAGCTAGAAGTCGAGGCCATTGTAGCTTTACTCCATCGTAGTGGACCTGAAACACTTCGCGGGTCCGGTTACGCTTCCCGTCGGTCGTCCATTATCAAGCTAGACTGCCGGCGGATATCCAAGAACAGTCTATCTCACGTCTTGTTCCGATGTCGATCAATTTGCGGTGAAGAAGAAAGATTCTTGAATGTTCTGATCATTGCGGTGAAGAGACAGACCTGCTTGCTGAAACGGACGTGGTGTGTTTTGGAAATATGGGTAGAGTCTTCCATAGAGAAGGTGACGCGATGCTACAGGCGGAAGGGTAACCACATGCCTCTTCCTGTGCGATGAATGCCGAGCGGTCTTCCGTTATCTCGCGATGATGAGCACATCACGACCGCGCGAGCCGGATTGTGTGGTTGGCATGTTGATCCAATGGAGCGCGGAAACGGGCAAGCAGCGGTGAGTTTCGGAATCGAAGAAAAGCAGCGAGCAAACATGTGAAGGAGGCTGGGTTGAAGAATGACGTTGCACACTCGTAGTTGCGCAACGTACTGTGAATTCGTAACTCCACGCGCTCGGGAGTACTGGGTATCTCGGTTCAAAGCTATGGACATTCTGTGTTCAACATCCCCGTTTCAGTGTAGAGAGGGAAAGCACTAACCTTTGTGTCTCCTTTCAAACGCATGGCCTCCGCTTCCCTTGCTTTTGTCGCGTGTTCGTGGCCGTTGCCGTCTGACGTGATGAGTCATAGCGTTGTGTAGCAGCTCTGTTCTCATATTCCGCCGTTGTCATCCCTGGCCCACAACTTGACAGTGCGATCTTTGCCTCCACTGACGATCCAAGACGCGTCACTCGTCACGTCAGTACTGAAAACAGGACCTGAGTGACCTTGGAGTGTCTTGCAGTGTGCCCAGTCATCTGCCGAGAAGATCTGAACGTTTTTGTCAAAGCCAGACGAGATGACAAACGTAGAGGCTTTCTTCGGTATGACTTCTCCTTCACTGCTCTCCTGTAACGGTACTCCACTGGCTGGTCCATCTGTACCCTTAAACCATCGGAGGTCTGTCACACCTCCTGTGTTGGCTGCAATTGAGTTTGTCTCTCTCATCGCTCGAACGTCCCAGCACTTCATGAAACCGTCACCTGAACCGGACAGAAGGCGATGGCCGTCCGTTGACCAGTCGAGACCGTAGATGGGCTTGATGTGGCTCTCCAACATGTAGATGACACGACCTGTACGCACATCCCACACGCGGCCGATACTGTCAAGACCAGCACTTGCAACCAATGACCCATCACCGCTGAAGCTCACGGTATAAACTTCTTTCGAATGACCCTCTTGCATGAGAAGTTCCTGACCGGTGTTGACGTCCCAGAGTCGCCATGTCGTGTCGTCGGAAGCGGAAGCCAGGTATTGTCCCGACGGATGGAATGCCACTCTGCAGACGCGGTCGGTATGGCCTTCGAGGGTGCGCAGGGGCTTGTCGTCATCTAGCGACCAAAGCTGAATCTTGCCCCCGGCTCCGCCAGATGCGAAGTTTACGCTAGAGGTTGAGACGTTGCTGCCTTGTAGTGTCGCGCCTGGCATCCAGTCTATGCCAGTAGCACGCTCCGTGTGTCCACCACGATACGCCTTCTTCTGCTCCAAGCTGGGAATTTCCAACAACGCAACCTTTCCACCCCAGGTACCGTATGCGACATACTTGCCGTTGGGCGAGACGCGCACAATGCTCACTGGACGATCTGCGGTTTGCGACCCATACAGCTCGAACCCCTTGAGGCGGTCCTTGATCTTGTTCCGGAACTCGACGTGGGTTTTGAGGGGAATGGTAGCTTCGCGACGCTGGAACGCGACGCGCTCCTTTGCGCGGGGTAAAGAGTATTTGGCCATGTTCCGTCGCGCGTCCAGTAGCGACTGCGTGCCTTGGGTATAGAACTCTTCCTGCTCATCACCTGGGGCTTCCTCCACATCTTGCATGTCCACGTCTGCCGCATCCTCGCCTAGTGCTTCTGCTGCCTCTGCAAGTAAAGCTCGGAGTCGGTCGCGTCGCTCAGAGGGGCCCTCGCCGAATAGGGTGATGGGCTCGCCTCGCGATCGCAGCTTTGCTTTGACATCGCGGTCGGCGGTCGGTACGATTAATTGCGCTGCTCGTCGTTTGCGGTCGAAGTCCTCCATAAGGGAATGGGCCGACGCGTTTCCCCCACCGGGCATGGCATGGTTACGGTCGAGCGGGACACTGGAAAGGTCGATGCCCTCCATCGCATCAGCCTGGGGGCTATGGTCAGCTTTTATGCGAACAGAAGTTGCGACTGAGCTACGAAGCCCGCGATGCTTCTGCGCCAGTCTATCGCTGCAACTCGGGGTACGTACCGCGCCATTCTCCTCTTCAACATAGGCTTGTCGCGCCGGGTGCATGCTCATGGTGACTACGGGTCCCGCGGCGGGGAAGGATGTTGGTGCTCGGGGGGAGTATCTCGAAAAGAAGTTCCGAGCCAGACCACGGGTTTAGGCGATAGGGCTGAGCTAGCGCCGGTTATGTCATACTCCGCGTTTGAGACGAAGCTTGAAGCACCTGCAGTGTTTGGTCTAGACGAATATGCTCTGCAGGTAGAGACCAGATCTCAGTTAAACAATGCCTTTCTGTTATCCCTAGTTTGCTATTGGGGTATTTCTTGCTATATCTACCCAACAAGCATGCTTCAGATAATTGTAAGTACTCCACGAACTAGCCGATCGGCAATGACGACGGCCAATGTGATTTCTTAGCCCAGAAGTCCCTTTTCCTTCAACATAATTTGTCGCAGAGGTACGGCACCGCCAACAGGCGCTGATTCTGCTGCCAATTCCCACGTACTGACTCCCATCTCCAGGCTCTGGCTGTGGCCATGTCATTTGCGATTACCAGCGCTGCGGGCCTTGCGCGACTTCCACCTGTGTCGCGACGCGCCTCCTCTAGTGGCCTCTTCCTGTTTGCTCTCGCCGCATCTCCGTTGGCAGCGCCTGCCTCGTCCAGTCGAACAAGCGGCCTTCATTCGCAGCGCATGCCTTCTAATTTCGCACAACCCACCTGCCCGCTGAACAGAGACACCTCTCCGGCCACTGTCGGCTTACGCTCCTTTCATTCGACTTCACACAACTGGCGGAGTACGCCGCAATATACATACCATGTTGCGGCATCCTACTCAGCCAAGCAGGATCGCTTCAATGCGGAGCAGAATCTGTTTACACGACCGCTGCATGACCCCAGCAGTAGCAAGGTTGAGGACCTGCGCGAATGCAAGGAGGCCATAGACAAGCGGAAACGAGCGAAAAGTGGCCAGGATGCTTTCTTTTTCAGCCAGGTGGGAAACACAAACACCACAACATTTGGTGTTGCAGATGGAGTGGGAGGATGGGTCGAGTCTGGATTGGACCCCGCCGACTTCTCTCATGGATTGTGCGAGTACATGGCTTGCGCCGCGCGCTCATGGCCACACGGATTCAACACGACAGCATTACACCCGAAAGACCTGCTCCAGGTCGCGTACGACGAGGTCACGGATGATGACACCATTGAGGGTGGTGGTAGCACCGCATGTCTGGCTGTTGCCGAACCGGATGGCAACGTCGAGGTAGCCAACCTGGGAGATTCAGGATTCATGCATCTCGGACTCAATGCCGTACGACATTTCACGCAGCCTCAGACGCACGCCTTCAACACCCCGTATCAGCTTTCCAAAACTCCCCAGCGCATGCTCGTGCAAATGGCCGTATTCGGAGGCCCATCCACACTCTCGGATATGCCAAAGGAGTCGAGTATAACGCACCACAAAGTACGCCATGGCGATGTTCTCCTGTTTGCAACCGATGGTGTGTGGGACAACCTGAGCCCACAGGATGCGCTCGGTATTGTCAGTCGTCACATGGTCGACCTGGGTGCTTGGGTCGAGAAAGATGGCACCATTGAGGTTGGACAGGATCTAGCAAAGCTGGTACAGGCCGACTCAGCTCGTAAAGCTGATAGCTCCTCCCTCCAAGCCAAGGTGGCTGTTGCGGTCGCGAAGGAGGCAAAGGTGACGGGGCTTAACACTCGTCGGGATGGCCCCTTCGCCAAAGAAGTGCAACGATACTACCCTGGGGAGAATTGGCACGGTGGCAAACCGGACGACATTGCTGCCGTGGTAGCTGTCGTGCTTGAGGATGCACCGCAGCGCGCAAAGCTATGATTATATGCATTAGATCTCTGTTGTTTGGCTGCATGGGTAGGCGATGGCGTTTTGGAGAGGACTCAGGCGCGGAATCGGAGGCGTATCTGCGCATGCCACTATGGGTTGGTAATCGTCTTAGCGTATGAAGTCCAGTGGTGGTTACGAATGTTTGAAGACTAGATAGCGACATCAAAAGATCGTCCATTTCATTAGGCCCTTACGATCTATCTCTTGTGTAGATACAGAGAGTAGATCTGAAGCTGGGTGTGTTTAGACCACGGTGTACATTTGTTGTTCTGCGTCAAAGTACAGCTCAAGTTTGTAAATTTCGTGCGACATGGCCCTCAAGTTGATGCAGTCTGCCCAACTTTCACATGATGCATGCAAGCACTGTACACGAGCTAGGCCATCTGCATCTATGACAAAAACCTACTCGCTATATTGATCATCCATCGACTACCTAGGTACTGATGCTACCATGTCTTCGTCCGATGACAGTAGGGTCATACGTCAGAGCACTGATTGCTGCAACGTCTAGATGTCAAGACAGACAGAATGCACAGGCAGGCCTAGTCTTGCATAGCGAAGCAGCTTTGACGTCAAACGTGTGGGGCATTTTGCAGCATGGTGCCTCGGCTGTTTGTTTATCGCAGTTACCTCAGCAACGCGGCCACGCGAGTCTCAGGATTCGCGCGCTACCTAAGTATCCATGAACGCCAACTTCACCCCATCTTTACCACGAAATCGCCCGCCCACCTTCCGGATGAATGCGCAACTAACCCTTAGCTAACAATCGCTATCCACGTAACCCGACGAGCCCATAGAAAGCAACGCGCTTGCCGACTCTCGACGCGACAATCGAATGGCTACACTTTCTCCCACGCCCTCCTATGGGCGCATGCGTGCGCATTCCTCAATACGACCCCGGAGAGACTCTCCGCTATCCGTACTGGGGCAGTCGCAGGGCTTCTCAGCGGATGCGCCTATGATGCAGAACATCAACATTGGCGACAGCTCCGATGACGAGATACCACAACCCATGAAGCTCAGCGCTTTGACGACGGCACTTCTTGCGCAAGGCAGTGACGTCGATTCGCCTGAGAAGAGGAAACCCAAGCTGAAGATTTCGCGCAATGCCTCTGGCTCCAACACGCCAGTGCAGGATACCGTCACACCTGCACCAAGTTTGCGAATAAAGCGAGTGCCACTGCGAGGTGCGCCCATGAGACGGTTTCGGAGGACGCCTCAGAGCGAGGAGGAACACCATCCCTCTCAAGACCAGGAGAACATGCCTATCTCCGCGGTTAAGTCGCAGCCTGAGAACGTCCCCGATTCCGTCCTGAAGGTTACCGGTTCCGTCATGAAGGTTGCAGAGGATCGCCATATGCAGCCACAACCAGAGCACCAGTCACCGATACAACGATCTTCGCAGCAACAAGAAAAGCAGATGCCGCTCCAGGCGTTAAGTGCAAACACTCCACGACGACCGGCACCTCCGCCGCCGCCGAAGATGTCAGTGTTGGAGACGGCGACTACTGCTGCCGGAGCAGCCACAACAAAGACGAGAGAAAGAAAGAAGAGGAGCACACTATCAGTCAATGGAAAACATTACTCGCAAATGGACAGGATAGGAAGAGGAGGCAGTTCGGCCGTGTACCGCGTCATGGCAGAGAATTTCAAGCTTTTAGCGCTGAAGAGAGTCAAGCTTGAGGATGCAGACGAAGCCACTGTACGGGGCTTCAAGGGCGAGATCGACCTCCTGCAGAAGCTGAAGAACGTTGACCGCGTTGTGCGACTATACGATTGGGAGGTCGATGAGCAACGTCAAGTGCTGAGTGTGGTACGTGTATTGTAAAACAAGGCAAAGTTCTATACTAACATGCACCAGCTCATGGAACTCGGAGAATCCGACCTCGCCCGTATAATACGAATGAAGCTCGATCCCGCAGACGGAGACGGCAAACTAGACCTAAGCTTCACACGCTACTACTGGAAAGAAATGCTCGAATGCGTCGGCGCAGTCCACGACCACGACATTGTCCACTCTGACCTAAAACCCGCGAACTTTCTCCTCACCTCTGGCCGCTTAAAGCTCATCGACTTCGGCATCGCAAACGCCATCGAAGTCGACCACACCGTAAACGTGCACCGCGACTCGCACATCGGTACCCCAAACTACATGTCACCAGAGTCGCTGGAAGACTCAGCCGGAGGCGCCAGAGGTCTACTCTCCAATGGCAACGGCTCCAAGGACATGGCGCTCGGCAAACCCTCCGACGTCTGGAGTCTAGGCTGCATCCTCTACCAAATGGTCTACGGCCGCCCTCCCTTCGCGCACATCACCAACCAAATGGCGCGTGTCCTCGCCATTGTCAACCGCGACTATAAGATCGAAATTCCCGACCTCGGTGTCGGCGATGTCCGCGTCCCTCCAGGTCTCAAAGCTACGCTTCGCCGCTGCTTGCAACGCGATGCCTCACGCCGACCAAACGTAGCCCAACTTCTCGACGAGCGAGACCCTTTCCTCTACCCTGACGGCGGAGAAGACCTGAGAATACCACAGGAACTGCTCGGCCAAATCATCCAACGGGTCGCAGATCGGTTTAGAGATCCGAATAAGAGCCCGCCTACCGACGATGAAATTCGTCAGTATCCAGCGAGTTTCTACGAGAAGATTAGACAGTTGCTGGAAAGCGATTGATCTTTCTCTTTCTTCTCTTTGTTGTACTCTTTGTCTATTCTTGGTGCTCCGTTTGCGGGCACCGGCATGTACATACACGCCTTGTTTTCTTTGTCACTTTTCCCATCATCATCATCATCATGACGACTTGGCGCTGGGGTTTCTCTTTGCTTATCTCCATCTTGGGTTGTTTGTTCTTGCTGCAGTCAGCTACTGCATTCTTGGTACCCACTTCTGTTCGCGCGGTATCGCCGCTTTTTTGAGCGTTGAAGCGTCGCCTTCCTTGTCAGGGTGTTCTATTTGTTTGGAAAAGGCGCATTGTCTCTTTTCGTTGGATGAACTCATGAATGGCGGTCTCACTCTAGTCGCATACGGTTTCCTTGGTTCGTTGTATATACCCGTGTTGGAGAGTTGGGGAAATCGATTCTTTTAATCGTTTATTGAATGACTTGATGCTGCTGCTGCTTCTGATATCGTGTGATGATTCATGTGTAGTGCAAGAGCCAGACAACAAACTTTGCGCAGACCGAGATAGTTTGCATGTTCGCGTCTGGTGACTTCGCCCTTACGAGGATCTCAGGATCGTACTTCGACGACACAAGTTCAATTATTCTAGGCAGATTGCTTGCCTACAACAGCGTGCTGTCATGAAAGAATTGGACAAAGTACAGAATTCCCCATGGAAGCGATTAAAGACAACCCATTCCTTGAACAGGTCCTAGTATGAGCAATAATTGAAATTGGGAATATCCGCTATAGAGCCATGAATCCTGTACCTCAGCCTAAAGATAACGCCATGTGAATGCTCCGTGTCCAGTGAGAACGCCAAAGCGATGCTACATATACCTAACACCGCTACCCAATATTCATGACCAACCCTTCATAGAAAGCGCAGAATCTAGGACAAAGATGATTACTCATCAGCCTCCTCATTCAGCTGCTTACGCTTGATTGCAAGATCGGCCTTCTGCTTGTCGATTTGCGTTTGTGCGCGCTTCTTGAAGAGGAAGTTGGTGTGTCTGTCGCGTGCTTCTGTACTTTGAACAATAGCTCTCTCCAACTCTGCGATTTCACCGCGGAGTTGCTCTTGGCGCTGTTCCTCCGCCGCGGCGGCCTCGTCCACCTCATCGACGTCCTCATCGGAATCTTCGTCGTCGTCGTCATCATCGTCATCTGCAGATGTCGCGGCTGCGGGTGTGGATGCTGCTGTCTCGGTTTCGACAACCACGTTTCCGTTCTGGCTGAGAGCGTGCATGGCGACGTCGTGAGCGGTTGTTGGTGTGTCGGCTTGTTCGACTTGCACGTTGTCGTTGTTTGCGAGTAAGGCCTTCAGTTGGTCATTGTCGCCCTGGAACTCGACCTCGTCATCCATGAGTCCTTCGGCAAGCATCTGCTCCAGTTGGTCGGCATCCATTTCCTCCACCTGAGTAGCATCTGCCATCTCCTCGTCGTCGACCTCTTCTTCGGAACTTGACTCCTCTGAGCTTTCGGCTTCACTGTCTACCATTTCATATTTGGTTGATTCAGCAAGCTCGTCAGCTTCCAGTAGTTTGTGTAACGCTGTTTCGGCGCGTTCAACGTCGATGTAGGATTTGCGAGGGCGGAAGCGTCGCTTACGGGCCCACTTCATAGGTGGCGTCAGACCGTGGGGAAACCGGTGGGTGTCTGGGGAGATATAGGATGGAAGTGGATACTTCTTCGCTTCCTCCTCGTTCTTAACTTCATCCAGGACTAACAGCATCTGGCAGACATCTGCGGTCTTAACCCAGTCCTTCTTGTTCCAACTCTTCAGTGACTCTATAACTGCGGGTAAATCGACCATAGTCGCAGCGTAGTGGCGGCCTTGTACGGTGAGCATAGCCCGACGGCCCTCGCGGTCAAAGAATCGGAAGTGTACGCCGGGCCCTCCCTGTGACACACTCTTGCCGATGGTCTTCTCTTCGATAGATTTGCGTAGTAGATCGCAGTCTGGGCCTGGCTTCATGCGCAATACAAACTGAGACTCGATAGCCGGGTCAGGTTCTGCCTCTTCTGCCTCACTGTCATATCCGACACCATATGGTCTGACCGGCGGCTTTCCAGCGCCTTTGACCTTTAGGATGGCTGGTCTCGCCGAGGTCATGCTTCCTTTCGGTTTGATGGAGAGCTTGATAGACTGAGTGCGGTTGTGTGACTTGATAGGCTGGGGCGGAGGTTGTTGGACGGCGGCGTAATCGTCGTCGTCGTCGCCGCTGTCGTTAGCCATGGCGAGGCTCTTCGCGGTGGGTTTCGGCTTGCGCTTCGCGGCAGGTGAGTCGACATCGTCGCCGTCTTCGCGTGCCCTCTTCTTGGGTCCAGGCTTTCCCGGGGGAATGACGTTGCCGCTTTCATCGAGTTTGGGCTTCTTGGTGTACTTGCGCTTGACTTTGGCACCTTCGCCGTTCTGGCCATCGGCAGGCTCACCAGCCGCGGGTCCTGAGGGTTTGAACTTGATTTTGAGGCCTCCTGGCTTCGCGGAAACGGGTGTAGGCGCGTCGGCCGGGGGAGGTGCGGCGGGCGGCGCATCGCCAGAAGGCGCATTCAGGTTCTTGAGTTTGAGTTTCATCTTGGGCGGCGGTACGGGGAGTTTCGTTGTTCAGGACGGATATTTCGGACTACGCGCTCGGGTACGCGACATTTGCGAGGGCGCGCGGTGGTGTTAAAAGCTGGGGTAGGTGAGTCGGAAGCGTTGGCATTCCATGGGCGGCGGCCTTGGCGTTCACCGCAGTGAAGGGCCAAAGCTTTCCAGTCGCGTACCTTCACTTTCCTTACACTCGCTGCGCCGGACAGTCCCACCATGCGCCTGCTGTTCCCGCCCTAACAGCACCACATCACAGCGGACCTCTGCATCTTCCATCGCCCGCACCGCCGCCAGCATGTCCCAGAACGACCTCTTCCTCAACCTGCTGCGGCCTGCCGTCCTCCATATTCTACGCGCCACGGGCTTCCAGCACGGCAAGCCCTCGGCCGTCGACACGATCGTAGACCTCACGGCACGCTATCTATCTCTACTAGCAGAGCGCACAGCCTACAATGCCTTCTCCAACCACAACGACCTCACACCAGACATTAGCGATGTGCGCATGGCGATGCAGGATTGCGCTCTTCTCGTGCCCACCATGACAGCCGGGGAAGAACTCTGGAAGGAGATCTTACGTAAACCGCTCGATGAGTACAACGAGGAGACGGGCGCCCGCGAGAACGAGGCAGCCCGCCGCGACGCCGAGGACACAGCAGATGTGACCGAGTTCATTGAATGGGTCAAAGGCGATCAGAACAAGGAGATTCGGCGCATAGCGGGCATCTACAAGCCAGTTGCGACGAATCCGACAGAGCAACTTGATCAGGAGGAAATGGAGGACTATTTGAATAGTATGTCGAAATACCTCTCTACACGGCTACAGACTTACTAACTGTTTCGCTAGCTCTCATGAAGAAGCACAGCAAGACCGGCGTTGAATCACGTTTCCAAGGCACCGTTCTGGGTGTCCCAGCCGAACCAAAGACGATCAAAATCGAAGGAGGAGGCGCCGAATCGATAGAAGAGTGGTGTCGCAGAACCCGTGAAAAAGCCGCCAAAGCAGCCGAATCGAAACGAGAGAGCCGCGAAACTACAAACACCGTCGAAACAAGGGAGCCCTCGGCAGACGTGGAAATGGAAACGGAATGATATCTGGCTTTTCATCTTACAAGCATAGCGAAGGCGTTTGGTCAGGAATCATCTTTAAGGCGTTCAGGGATATCTAGGTTATGGGCTGGTCGGCTTTGTAGCCCACAGGGTTACTCCAGGGTTTGTTGGGAGTTTGAGCTCGCATGCTCGCCATTCCACAGCCTGTAGTGGTTACAGTGCGTATACCTCTATCATACATTAGGCGATACGAGGTTGTGGCAACGGTATGATATTTATCCCCACAATCAGCAGCATAAGACTAGTTGAGTAGGGTCATCCGAGGCGTGCTTTATTAGCAAGCACACTCTCCGTTCAAGAGAAGTACTGAACCCGTCAGCTACTATATCAGCAAGTAACAAACAATACTACATATAATTTATACGTACGTATAACCCAGAGGTCTACACGAGTGCACCGTTCTTCACCTCAGTACGTTGATTTTATTGTAGGCGGCAGCGCAGACGAGAACCTGCGTGTCTCTACCTGGGTTCTCGTTGCACGGTCGCATGCAAGTTTTGGGACCGATCTCGCACCTAGTCCTCCCGCCATCGTCCCGCGCCGATACCAATGACTACGAGACAAGACTAAAACGCGGCTCAGACGTTTGTTTTCCACGTCCTCACATGACAACGGCGCGCATTGGTGGGGCGGGAATGAATGACGGGCCCACCCCGCAGACGTCATAGCAATGGCAGATAGCCAAAACAATATCCTCGACAGCTCCAGCCTGATTTCCCATATACAAACCCAATCCACATAATTTCCAACCTCACATAATCTCTGCACTCAAATCCTCCTCTGTCAATTGACATTCTACCTACTCATAACCACAACCACATCCACCAACACCAACAATGTCCGGTCTCGATCCCCAGGGCCCCTCGCAGCCCTCTCTAAACCAAGCCTACACCACACCCGGCAACCCAGCGCAAAAAGACCCAAAAGAGCAAGTCCAGACAGAGTTCAACGCCACCGACAACGCCGCCACCGTCGACCAACGGATCCCCACCAAGCAAGCTACCGACGCCGAGGGCCTACGGAATGCAAAGTTCGAGGAAGGCATGGGAGTCCACGGCGCACCAGCGGGCGAAGAGAGCAAAGGTCTGACCCATGAAGACGTAGGAAGGCACAAGGAGCTGGACGGGCAACAAATGGCTGCGCCCGGCGAGGGACGTGTAGCCGATGCGGTGGCTCAGGGAGGGAAGGGTCTGGGTGGTGGTGGAGAGCAGCCTGATCTGGCGAGCGATCTGGACAGGTGAGTGGTGGATGCTGTATGAGTGGGTTGGATGTGTGCTAACAATCGAATAGGAAGAAGGCTGAACAAGCCGAGGCGAGAGAGGCTATTAAGCAGTCAAAGGGCGAGGCAACACAGACTGGTGGTGCATTGGGACAGACTGGTGGGCCTGCCAACCCTGTTGATAACTCGACACAGGGTGGTGGTAACTACCCTAACTCTAGCTACTAGGTCTTTTTGGTCTAGAGGCGGAGCGGAGGACTATGTGTTGGTGTGTATAGGCTTCTTGACAAAGTTGGCTAGTATACTTGTAGGCGTACGACATGGCAGGGGCAATGCACATGAAATGCCATCAAATCAATGTTCATCATCAGTCATACGGTCCTTTCGTTTTGGAAGCGAAAAAAAAAAGTACACGAAGGCTTGTTGTTTGTGACTTACAATATAGACGAGTTGCTGACGGGCATGTTGGTACTAGACGTGGGTGAATCTATTGTCAGGAATATATCCGGAGAAGACATACGCCATAGGACCATATATCTACTTACTGTTTGAGATTGAAGACAAGGACTTGAAGATGGGTTAGAAAGCAAAGGATAGACACAATCTTCACACCAACGCAGACATGTTTAATTTGATTATTGTATTTTTCTTTCTTTGAAGCCCGGTAGCAATAGCTACGCGAGCATTAACGTTATGCGACAGTAACATCGGTACGTTATGTGAGCGCCCCAAGGGACAGCGTCACTCTCTATAAGCCCAGCAAATCGATACATCTCATATACGTCGACGAGCGTGAAAAGACGAAACCAGGAAAGCGCCATGATGCAGACCTACCACAGCTGCTCCATAGGAAGTCAAACTGGTGGTCAATACATCGAACGCCAAAGATCAAAAAAAGCAAACAGCGCAAACCCAACGTTATATACATCAGCGACTCAAAGAGTCAAGTGAAAGGGGATGAGGGAGAAAGGAGGAAAAGGATACATGGGCTCAAGGGCCCATGTATGCGTCGAACTGGAAGTTACTCATGTCGGTCGGGACAGGGAGGTTGGGATCGAAGAAGGTGTTGTTGTCAAACACCATGGGCTCATTCGCATGCATGTTCATACCGTAGTCCATGTATTGATTTGGGTCAATAGGGACTTGGTCCATCATGGGTACTTGCATGGGCATGGCCATGGGAAGCGGCTGTTGCGACGGAGGGTAGGCAGCAGCAGGAACAGCGGTGTTGTCGACTTCGTACGCAGAAGTGTCGAAGGTGTTGTCGATCTGTTCAGACGCGTCGTTGTCGGAAGCGCTTTCGGGCGACTGAGGGGTCGGCTTGTTGTCGACCTCCACCTCTTTGATCCAGTTTTGCTTGAGGTACTCCATGGGAGGGTGGTCTCCGCCACCGATGCCACCACGCTTCTCGTCGTTCTTGCCCTTCCTGCCCCTCTTGCGGGGATGGAAGTGCGCACGGCGAAGGTGGGCAGCGGCGTTGTAGTACGCGCCGTACACCTTCTTGTTACGGCAGTGCTTACAGTTGGCGAGGAACTTCTTGTCGGCTGAAGAGTCGACGCAGATGTAGCCCTTCCTGCGAGAGGCATGGGCGCGAGCAATGTGACGGTCAAGCTCATGTGTGCCACGGAACCCATCGGGTCGCTCGTTGCAGAAATTACACTTGATCTTTGGGTGTTGAGGACGCACGTACGGTGTCTTTGACAGAACACCGACAGTCTTAGAGGATCCATCCTCAGACCTTATCCTTGTCATCTGAGCATTTGATGACGCAGACTCGGTCGCATCATTGTTGTCGATTGCCTTCGGGGCAATCTTGCGAGACGCAGCTTGCGCGTTGATCTCGCGTTCGCGTTGCGATTGACGAGAGTTGGTCGATGAAGGTGCAGAGACCTCGCTCGAGTAACCCTCGCTTGATGAAGCTGAAGTCGACCTCCGCATATCCTCCGCCAGGCACGACTGATCGTTGTCGGAAGACGCAAGTGCATGCGCACTTGCAGGAACAGATGAAGAAAGGAAAGCTTCACTGGAGGAGCCAGTGAAGTTGAGAAAATGAGAACCATCAGCGGACTCGCTGATGGGCTTGGATGCGACGTTAAAGGAATAAGGAAACGACCCATCCTCTGGGAGGATGGGCATACATGAAGAAGTTGACTGATTACGCGACATGGAAATGTTATCAAAAAACAGAGGGTTGTAACTACCCTGACGACTCATGTTACTAGATTGAGTAACAGGCGTCATCAGAGCGGTTGACGGTGTGCTGGGTGAAGAGGCGTCCGAAGACGAACTCCACTGCAAGCTGGGTGTCAGTTGCAACTGTTGTGAATGCTGGGGGGTGGGGAGGGAAGAAGAGTTGTCTGGCTGGATGCAGCTGCTGACGTAGTCGCCAACACTGTACTCAGCGATGCTGTTGTAAGCAGTCTCTGGCATCGACTGGAGAGTCGGCTGTCTTCGCATGGAAGTGTCAGAGTAGAGCGTGTAGTCGGTGTTGGACTCTTGGGACATTGAAGGCCAGTCAGAGTAGGTGGTGTTTGAGCGGTGTAGGTTGTCGGTCATGGCCGAGTCTGAGCGGTTCATGACGGGAGCAGAACGAGTCCGGTCCATTGATTCGAAGCCAGTTGTCTAGTGGGTGTTAGATCAGGGACGAGAAGACCAAAAATGTGTCCATACTGGGAGCTGGGTCATATTTGACGTGTTGAAGGCCATTGACCGTGGGACCTGGTGGGCCATGGAGGGTTGCGACGGTTGGCAGGCAGCCTGGAACCACGCGCGGTTTAGCTCCTCCTCTGAGAGGTGTGCGTTGCTCATGCAGAAGTCGTGCTTGGCTTGTTCGAGGAAGGCGACGTAGGTATTACTACTACTACTGCTACTACTCGCAAGAGTCGAGGCCATGACGTCTGAGGGGTGGTGGGATGGGTTGGTAAGAATAGTGGTAGCGGTGTAAGAAGCAAGCTGGGCGAAACGATGATCAGCAACAACGGCCAAAGAAGGGCTTGTCTGTGCAGGAAAATCTTACGGTGGTGGTAGCTGGTGGTGGTGAAGAAGGAAGCAAATAGGGTAATGTCAGAATTGCGAGGCGATGAATAAGTGAGAATGCGGGTTGCGAAGGGGAAGATGTGCTTTTAGCACCACCTGGGTGCATGGGGGACGAGCGATGCGCTGGCTCGTGTCAGAGAGCGTCTGACGAATGCGGCCCGCGCTGAGCGGTGGACGAAGGGCCAAGGTGAGCTCAGAAGGGCTATCCTCGCCGGCGATCGATGCCATCCGTCTGCCGTTTCATTGGACATAAAGGGGCGGACGCAATTTTCATTCGCTGCCTCACTTTTGGCACACGGAAGCCAACACCGTGGCCCTGGCCACTCGATCCTGGGGACTCCCCAGTGCTACCCTATCGTGAACCCACACTCGGTGAGGGACCACCAGGTTTCATGCGTCCATTCGCATTTGGCAAACTGTGCTGTCAGTGGCAGAGGCGTCACCCACACGTTTTTCCTCTGGCGCCGCGCCAATGTCCGTCTTATTCCCAAAGCGTCTGCCGCACGGCTGAATCGCCAGCCATCAGTCGTCATCGCCCATGGGTACGCGAAATGCGGAAACGGCGGATCGCCATCAATTTTCTTCCTCGCGTTAGACATGTCAGCAGAAGAAGAGTCCAGGCTCAATGATCGTCTCCCATACTGGCAACCGCCAGCCCATGTGTCGTGAACTACCCGTTCAGGATGGCACCTCATCGCGATCACACCTTGGCAGAACATCACCCCAGGTACCCAGGTACCCCGGCCTGAATCGTGACACGCGGCTCATCTCCCTAAGGTTTGATTGATCCAATCTACACTATTGCTATCTTGGTCATGAACTTTCCATCTGCTGTCCGCGGCCTGCAGGGGACTTGAGAAAGGCTGCGCCAGGAAGGCCTGGTGATAGCAGTCCTCGCAGCCTGCTCCGCTTACGTTTTTCTGGTGGGTGCATAGAAACCACAGATGACGCGGACGAGAACGAGGACTTCAACCCGGGAGGACCTTGTGTGACACGGGGACCCATTGGCCCTACCTCCCTCACGCTTGATACGCTTGCCTTGCGGGCGACAAAGTCCTCCATCTCTTCATCCATGGCGTCGCTCATCTTTAGACTTTGTCGTAGCCAATACTGGTCAAAGGTGGCTTCAGTAACCTTTGCGACCACACCAAACTCCTCGAAAAAGATTACTATACTATCCAGCCCTGCGGAATCCGATGTTCGCCTTCCTGGCGAGTCTAGTTTGGGGTCAAACGTGAATGGGTCAAGCGTTGCGACAGAATCTCTGCGAAGCTTAGCTGGATGCTCTGCCAGCATGATGGCCCCGGGTAGATAAACTCTCCGCCGTTCAGCCGCGTCAACATCTCCACGTTGGTGTTTGCGCTTTAGCGTATGGTGGGCTTCTACGTTTGGCCGTGCGGAGGAGGGCGAGTGGGTTGTATGAGCAACAGGTCTGACAGACCGGACTGACTTCCGACCCCACGAGCGAGATGAGCGTGGGCTACCTGAGGTTTCACTTGTCCCAAGTCGCTCTGGTGGTGTTGCGTAACATTCTCGTGGTGTTTCTAGCATCGAGCTGGGCGAGGTGGGTAATCTCTTCGACTCAAAGTCCGCCAAAGCAGTGTTCAGAGTGTTTAGCGTTCCAAGCTGCTTGTGTTTCACAGTCTCATGTCCTCGTGATTTCTCGGGAAAGAAGCCGAGAGCACGCGTCGTACGATGAGGTGTCGCCTCGCTATCCTGGCTTGATGGTGGTTTCGGCAATGCCTTGCGTGGTCCCAATCGCCCGTCCCTGGAGACCTTCTTGGTGTCCAAACAGTTCGCAACCCCCTCATCCGACTTCGGCCGCCTTCTCCTTATTGTGTTCGAGTAGCTCAACCTTACACTGATCGCTCGCCGTGGCTCCAGGGGTGGTGTAGCCTGTGCTTCAAAGCCGCCGGGAGGTGCTGTCTGGGACTTCTTCCTCAATCGTGGCCGATCTATCATGCTCTCATCGTTGGCCCAGCTTTCTCTCCATAGTCTCTCCTCATGTCTGAGCGTCGGTGACGTTACTCTGATTGTTGGTCTTACTGGCGACTCTAATTGCGTCGGCGAAGGAGGTGATCTCGGTGGGGTCCGTTGTTGTAGAGCGGCTTCGTCGCCTTCTTCTGCGGCTTCGTCTTCGGACGAATAAGAGGAGGGTGAGAACACCAAATCCCAGAGTCCGTCGTACATGCCTATGCTGATGTCGCTCGTAGGGCGGCCTGCGAAGTTTGCAGACGGCAGCATCTCGACAGGCATGTCATAGTAATCTTCTGCAGAGTGTGCCATATTGCAACAATGATGATTAGAAGTGCAGAAGTGAGCCAACAGATGCACATACACACACCTTGATGACGATAGCGCTGCCTAAAGGCTCCCTTTGTCTACACATGGCTGCACTGATCCTGCTGTTGCACAGACAGAGGCGGGAATACATTCCGATATTTTGGAGGACAAAGAAAGGCACCCGTTTGGGGCGAAGCGCGTACATACACCTAGACAGGAAGTTCTCTATCCGCTAACATCAAGTCCGTAGCCCCGAACCTGATCAAAGCTGCTTACATTGGGGGTAGATTCCCGGGCTATAATCCTCTTTCAGCCCGAAATCGCCCCTTGCATATGCGCAGTCGCCGAGCCTCATCAGCACAACCACCAACGCGATCCTCAATAACCGGAACATTTTCCACATGCATGCCGTCTATTTTCAGATGCCCTGCATATGCATGCGCTCATGACATCTTCCTTGAACCGTGTGACGTCTCTTGAGGTATCGTTTATGTGCTACGTTTTCTGTATTGTCTAGCCTTGAGTGGATATTCACGATGGTAAGGAGTTGCAGATAACTATTTTGCCTTGAAATCCTCCTTGTAGGTTGCTTTCTAGTGATCCAGTTTCGTAGAGTACAATGCGTTCGTCTGCGTAGATGTGTACATTGTCTTACATACTTTTAATTCGTTAAAGTAGAATACCATGCTGCATACGTGATGGGACATAATTATATCATGCTCTTGTGTCAATTCCTCTTTTCGAATTTCAACTTACTTATGACAATGTACAGTATCCAAAGATTCCTTCGGACCGCGGGAGTCTTACCCAGCGATCCTGCGCCCGCGCCCAGCATGTGCAGACATGAATTGATAAATTGCCTGTTCATAGACAACACCTAGCAAATCGTATGAGAACCAAGCGGCCTTATGTACTCGGATATCAAGCCACTATGTTGCTCAAAGGTACGAACAAAGACGAGCGAAAAGATGTATTCATACGAATCATTACATTTACTTATGTATTAACGCCAGTCTTTGACACCAGATATGCTTTGCCGTAGACACCCACTTTTATCATCACGAAAGGAGCCATCTCTAGCTCACAACATAGGAGTCTCCTCCCTCTCGCCAATGACGTTGAGGAAGGCAGTGTGTACATGGCCAGTCAAGTCACTGGCTTGCAGCGACCTGCCCTTCTCCTTGAACGCCAGCTTCGAGCACTCCCTAGTGATGCACGATCCACCATATGCCGCAAGAGCAAGCGTCTCGCTCCTTGACATCTCAGTGCCAATGTCCCAGATCTTGTCGTGGTATGCTTTCCTGTACGCCAACAGGGTCGCCAGACTGCCGGTAAGAGTGTCACCTTGGCCACCAGAGCGCTTTAGGCCACCCTCGCCCTCGGACACGAGTGTGTGCGAACCGTTGGAGATGTAGTCCTTGGCGCCCTTCTGAATGATGGTGACGCCGCCGAATGCCTTTGACAGCTTGGCGCACAGCTCTGAGGGATCGCCTTCGTCGACATTTACGCCCTTGGCCTTGGCTAGCCTTGCGAACTCGACAACGTTGGGTGTGAGGATGCACTCAGTGCAGCCGTCCACGAGTTCCGGCCTTGTCTGAGCGAGGTAGAGGCCGTCGGCGTCCAATACGAACGGAATGCCCTGTTTCCTTGCCTCTTGGATGACCTGTGCGCAGGTTTCTTGCATGAGTTCATCGCGACCAAGACCGGGACCAATGACAATGACATGGAGACGTGATAGCATGGCTACTACTTCTGAGGTGATGCTGTCTGCGCTTTCGGACTTGGCGAGGTTCTTCGATTGGCGCATGTATGGGTGTACCATGAGGTTGGGGGAGTATGTCTTGATGACCGCACCGGCGCCAGGTTCGCAGATTACGTGGGACTGCAGCCAGGTGAGCACATTGTCTGACATGGGTTGATCTAGATGTTCCTACCATGTCGCAACCTAGCTTTGCGGATGCCATAGCAGAAAAGTAAGGCGCACCAGTGTAGTCTTCACTGCCACCAATGACAGCTACACGACCCAATTGACCTGTTCGAATACATTAGAATCCACGTCGGGGGCCAGTATCATAGATCATTCCTTACCTTTGTGAAAGCTCTCAAGCATGGGCGGTACCATGTTGTAGACCTTCTTGAGCAGGTCTTTTCTAGTTGCGCTGGCCATCTTGAAATAGTGTTCAGGGTGCTGATTGATGTATTGAGTGTTTGTACGACAAAAAGTATCGAGTCTCGATTGTTGTTAATAGCTGCGAGGAGCTTTGCGCGGCTATGGTTTTGTTATGGAGCTCAACGCGCGAAGAGTACGTCATAATGATAGCGGGGCATCCATTGCTGCACGCGATGCGTGCGCCACACACTACCATGATACATGCGCGGAGAGAATAAAGATATGAAAAGTAGTCAATGTGATCACTGTCGGAAACAGCAGTGGCATATTCAAGAGGTAATTCTAAGTGTTATCGATTGCTAAGACAGTCTCTTACTCCGCTAAAGCTCACTAATCTCTGAGAACCTATGAAAGGAGACGCATGTCGCAAAGAATAAGCCCGCGTCTTCTCATCGGACCCCAA